GGGCCTGGGCACTGTCCCTCAGCTCTTCAGCTCAAGGATAGCACTCTACCCCTTGAGACACAGCACCACTTCCGGCTTTTTTTTTTTTCTGCTTATGTGGTGCTGAGGAATCGAACCCAGGGCCTCATGCATACAAGGCAAGCGCTCTACCACTGAGCCACCTTCCCAGCCCAAAATTATATATTTTTAAAGGATATGCCTTTCTGCTTTAAAAAAATTTACTAGATACTTCTGCATGAAATTATTAGCATAAAATAGAAAACTTAAATATAGGACATTTTCTCCCCTGAGGCATTACTGTTGTCAGTGGACACTATATCCACTAGGCATTCTGTAGTTATAACAGTGTATTTTGTTAAATTTTTCATTTACTTGCCTTTTTGTTAGGAGACTCTCAGGGCTTGCTATGTATTAAGCAACAGCTCTCTTCTGTTTCTAATCCAGACTGACAAGTCAGCATACCACCTGAAGTCCCAATGCCACGGAACCTGGCCTTCTCTCTGGAGGCTATTTCTCTGACTGCAATGCCAGTCTAACCCTGACTCTCAGTTTTGCATTAAGCTGGCAAGCAACTGAAGCACAAAGGTTTGCAGTTGACTGCAAGGAGCTAGGAGATCTTGAAAGGTCCCTGGAGAAAAGAAGCTGAGGCTGACAGGAACTAAGGGCCTTGAAGTTGGGTATCAATCAAGGTACATCTCACACTGGTAGCATTCCCAAGAGGGCAATATAATGAACTAGAAGTTCAAAGAGAAAGGAAAAATAGAACTAAGCATAGAATATCACTGGGATGCCGTTTTAACCCTTAAATTGCTCAGTGGTACAACCTTCCTCTGGCTGCTAGGTTCTTTTCAGACCTATGGAAATGCTAACACTACTGGCACAACTGGCCACATAGGTGGCCTTGGAGGGTTTTGGGAGATATGTGGAAAGGAGAGATTTGTGGTTCTCACAGGTACCTTACTACTCTTATTTTTTTGTCGGTTGTGGGGCTTGAACTCGACTTGGGCGCTGTGCCTGCACTCTTCAGCTCAAGGTGAGTGCTCTACCATGTGAGCCACAGCTTCACTTGTGGTTTTCTAGTGGTTTTATGGGAGATAAGAGTCTCACGGCCTTTCCTGCCAGGGCTGGCTTTGAACCATGATCCTCAGATCTCAGCCTCCTGAGTAGCTAGGATTACAGGCATGAGCCACCGGTGCTCAGCTCCCTTATTACTTTTATGTAATGGAAGAAAACATTCTTTACTTACTGAAGAAGCTCCTACTATTTAAAGCTAGCCAGTCACCTTTTTTAGGAAATGAATGTTTGTACAATATTACCTCCTCTCATCTGCCTTTCTTTTATATAGCATCACCTCACATTTTTAACTGAAATATTTTATAGGTGGTACAAATAAATATAATATAATAAATACAATAAATATAAATAAAATACAATATAATAAATACAATACAATACAATAAATACATAGGCAATTAGGGATGTCTCTCTCCTCTTTTTTATTAGCATGAGAATGAGCAAATGAGCTGAAGAGCTGAAGAGAATGACCAAGATACAAAATATCTTGTGAAGTTTTGTCTACATACTTATATTTGTTGCCTATTATGTTGATAATATTTCATCATCAAATCTATATTCTCCATGATTATTAAGTTCTTCTGTTCAAATTTTGCATGTAAGTTTAGTTTTTAAAAAATTAAAAAGTTGAGCCAGGCGCTGGTAGCTCATGCCTATAATCCTACCTACTCAGGAGGCTGAGATCTGAGGATCACGGTTCAAAGCCAGGCAGAAAAGTCCATGAGAGTTTTATCTCCAATAAACCACTCAGAAAATCGGAAGTGGCTGGCGCAGTGGCTCAAGTGGTAGAGTGCTAGCCTTGAGCTGAAGAGCTGAGAGATAAGGTTCAGGCCCAGAGTTCAAGCCCCATGACTGATAAAAACAAAAAATTTCTTTCAAGTCTGAATTAACAAACAAAATATTAAGCTTGTATCTTCCCCTTATCTGGAACTACTTGTCTTTATTGTACTTAATCTTTATAGCATTTGACACACAAAGATGTTCCTCCAGGAAAATCTTGTTTGTGCCCAGGGCTGACATGAAAAGAAACAATCTGAGACTAATGAAGCTTGCTAACAAGCTTCCTTTCATACCACATATTAATACAAATGTTCATGGTAATAGGGAAGTATCTCCTTTACTCTCTACAGGGAGGAGAGATTATTGGCTCAGACACAGTTTTCTTGCTTTGGGCCCTCTTACCAAACTCGAACTATTTGTTGAATGCATCTTACTGGTTACATATTTACTCCGGTAGTATTTTAAAGTCATAGTTATTTAATTCCATCATGTTGATCATTGCCTCATATTGGCTGTGTAAACATTTCAAAGTGAAATTTAATTAAATTTAGGATTTAAACATAAATTCTCTAGACACATACTTTAATAATGAGTGATAGTTACCTCTTCAAAACTGGATTCTCTTGGATTATATAGCCGAAGATACTTGTTTTGCTCCTCTGTGTCACCATTACTGTTTCAAGAGCCCTTTGAGGCAGCATACTGAACCTTATACATTTATGCCCTCAGTAGTTAGTAAATTCTGTTGACTTTGATATTTACCAACTTCATGCTCAATGAGATATATCTTTTTTTTTTTTTTTTTTTTTTTTTTGCCAGTCCTGGGACTTGACCCTTGAGCCTGGGTGCTGTCCCTTCTTTTGCTCAAGGCAAAAGCTCTACCACTAAGAGCCATAACACCACTAATAACTTTTTTGAGAGATAAGAGTCTCATGGCATTTCCTGCCTGGGCTAGCTTCGAACCATGATCCTCAGATCTCAGCCTTCTGAGTAGCTAAGATTATTGGTGTAAGCCACTGGCACCTGGTGATATTTTAAAGTTTTTCTCCAATACACAAGTATAAAATCTTGTACTAATACTTGTAGTTATCTAGAATTGGTAGTAAACTTACTGGAGAAAGATCTGTCAGTGAGATATTGAAATTATGAAATCATGGCTGGGACCCCTGTAACAAAAGACAGATTAAACAAGAGGCAAGCATCTATAGTTATTTAATACAATGCAAATTAGTTATGACACAGAAATGGTGGATATGTTTTTATGCTTGAAGAAGAGTATGTAGTCATGCAGAAAAAGTTCATATGGATAAATGGGAATATGATAGAATGGTAATAAGCAGCAAGGCCTGTTCATTCTTGTTGATGTTACTGTTTTCAGAGATAAAGATATTCTTTTACTCCAGGTATAGGGAGGGTATTTCTTTTGAAAGATCCTATGAAAAAGAGAATTGTTTTATAGCCTGTGTCAGAGGAGAAGAACAGGAGTTCAGAAAGATCTTTTTGGGGCTGGGAAGGTGGCTCAGTGGTAGAGCACTTGCATTGCATGCATGAGGCCCTGGGTTTGATTCCTCAGCACCACATAAGCAAAAAGAAAAAAGCTGGAAGTGGCGCTTGTAGCTCAAGTGGTAGAGCGCTAGCCTTGAGCTGAATAGCTGAGGGACAGCACCCAGGCCCAGAGTTCAGGCCCCACAACCGGACCCAAAGAAAAACAAAAACAAAACCAGAAAGATCTTTGTGCTTTTTCTGTTTTCTCAAATGCCAGCATATGGTATTGTGATTTAATATGTTTGATACTCACCTAAAATAAGCAATGACTAGTGAAGGATCATCTTTCAGATAATTTTGAGACATTAAAAATAATAAAACTACTTATACAAATAAAATTTCTTGAAAATTGGCAATCGTAGATATATGCCACTACACCCAGGTTTTCCTATTAAGATGGATTTCATGATCTTCCACACCTCAACTTCCTGAGTAGCTATGATTATAAGTATTAGCTACTATGCCCAACTCTATGGAAATACATATTTTTCTTTTGGCAGTTTACAGGGGTTTGAACCCAGGGTGAGTGTTCTACCAATTGAGTCAAAACTCTAATCCTTTGCTTTTGTTATTTTTTCAAATAAAGATCTTGTGCTTTTGCTTGGGTTGGCCTAGACTTTGATCTTCATGTTTACCACCTGCTGTCTTACTGGGATGACACACAGCTTTTTTGGTTGAGATGATGTCTTGTCCCTTAACTGACTTTGAACATTCATCTTCCCAGTCCTGTGTCCTGAGTAGTTGGGATTATAGGTGTGAGTTACTGCATTTAGCCTAGAAAGATTTTAACAAAGATGTTAAAAAATGATCTGGATTAATTTGCATATGAGCTTTAAGTATCTCTGTATATTTAGGTTGAATACTGGTGAATTGTAAAAGTACATTGTTTCAGTACTATGATCAAAGACTGATGTTAGTTGCCACTCAATAACAAGAGTGATGTAGTTAGTGAAAAAGTGTCCATATACAAACAATTTTGAGCAAATCACCTTGCAGGGAGCTAACACAATATAATATATTAAAGGTGGAGTCTGACAACAAGTAAAAATTTGCTAGTTTTTTTAAAAAAACTTTTCTGTATTTTGTAAGTGGCAGCCTAAATTTCCTTTGATAAACTTGAACTTTGGCTTTTTTTAGACATTAAAATGAAAGCAAAATTTTCTCTCTCACTATTTAATATCCTCTCACTGAAATGAAAATGTAGAGAGGATTTTGGTTTAAAATTGACAAAAATCCTGCCTAGATTTTCCTTCATTTTTTTTTTTTTTCTCTCTGTTAGGAATGTCGTGAGATAGAATCAGTAAACTTAGCTTTGGTTTTGTATAGAGATTCTCAGAATGGGTGAGGAAATTCCTAGTTTTCCTAATTGTTGAAAACAATTTTTTGTATATGTTGGGAAATACAGGAGTTGTTATATGATCAGTTTCTAGGCTGGATAAGTTAATATTTCTATTTTGCTGATCTATGAAAGGTTAGAATTGTTAACAAATATTAAAATCAGTTGGTGATTTTCTGAGTAACAAGTAAAACTATATTCGTTAATTATTTTAGGCTGCCTTTTCTGGAAGCAATTGTTAATTTCATACTTTTTCAATTTTCAGGTAACTTGGGTTTTTACTCCAGTAACAACTGAAATAACAAGTCTTGATACAGAGAATATAGATGAAATTTTAAGTAAGTACCTTGATATTTTCATTTTTCTTAGAATCAATCTATAGTAAAGTAGGCTTCATTTTGACATGTTCATATATGCATGCAATGTACATTGATCAAACTCACTCCTGTCACTCTCCCTCAGTGTTTTCCCACTTCCCAGACAAATTTCAACAAGCTGCATTGTTCCATTTTCACATGTATACATAAAACATTTTAACCATATTCACCCTCATTCACCTCTTGTTTGCTATTTTTTTCTTTATGAACATTTTATAAACAGTTTATAAACTCAGTAAAATCTCAGTTATCTAGAATAGGTGAAGACCTGGTATTGTGAGTAATTCAATGCCTTTGTTTTTGATCATTGGTAAAATGTCTTAAAATATATGTCTTCTTTTTTGTGTTATAAGTAATACTATTAGTTTTTTAGTTGTTTGCCTTGATATAGACATCATGCTAATATAGTATGCACATTATGTTTTTGCCAATGCCTATTTAGAATCTTATGATTCTGATGTAGTTCTATGCACCACTAAAGACTAATACCTTAGGATAGAATCTTGATTTTCTTAGTTTAAGTTGTTTATTCTGATTATCTTTTTTGGTGACATTGCTTCAGTTAAATATTTCATAATGAATAACGAATACATTATTTACTGACAATGGGATTGTAAGATAAAACTAACTTGGGGGAAAAATCATTCTGAATTTTTAAAATAGCAAACAGAAGGTGGTTGATTAAAAAATGACAAATTAGGAAATTTTAGAGAATATGCAAAATACATAGATGATTTCTTATTTTAAACACTTATACCTAACAAAACCAAAAGATTCACTGAGCACCATGTATTTGTTGTTTATTTGTCTATTTCATCTTTTTTTTTATTGTGAAAATACTGTACAGAGGGGTTACAATTACATGGGCAAGATAATGAGTATATTTCTTATTAAGCATTGTAGCTTCCTCCTTTGTTTCTCCTTCCCATCCCTTCCCATCCTCCCCCCCCCCCCCCGCCACTCCCCCAATTGCGCCCCCCCCCCCCCCCGCATGTCTGTTTCATCTTATGGGATCTTTTTAAAGCAGTATCTATAAGCAGTATTGAAAAGCGGTATCACATGCAGTATTGAAAAGCGGTATCATATTGAAAAGCGGTATCACATGCAGTATTGAAAAGCTATATCACATGGAAGGTTTTATTAATATCTACAATAGTAGGAAGAATCCCTAGTTACTGACAAACTATGAGACCCTCTAGTGCTTCTGGTCAAGAATCACAATTTTAAAATTATAGCTTTGTATTGAATATGCAAGTGGATAAACAATGCTTTGTAACAAAAAAGGAAAGAACTTTCTCCTTTCATCTTCTATATTCTGGAATATCTGTGTATTATTTTTTAGGTGTTTGAGGAGTTTAGGTTATTCTAAATTAGGTTAAGACAAAAGAAACTGCTTCATACTGAGACATGCAAATGATAATTATTTTTGCCACAGAGATGAACTATTTCAAGAATAGGAAGCAGAAAAAATGTATCTTGGCAATCCTGCTAGTCGTAGGTTACTCATTGCTACTAAATGGTCATCTGAGATAGAACTAGTTTAGCATACAGATCTCTTCTGTGGAATAGGATTTTACTTGTAGAAATAGTCAGTTTTTCATGAATATAAAAACTCAAAAATGAATTGTTAAAATTCAAATCACTCTATGAGTAGGATACTCTTAATTAGCTTACTGCTTGATCTGAATTTGATACCCTTTTTCCTTATATTCACTTAAGGTGTAATGAAAGCATAAGGATGTGTATATGCCAACCATGATGGTCTGGATGGATTTCTGAGTGAGAAATAACTTCATTGTTATTGTGGATTTTAAAAGTAGCCCTTTGTAACTAAAAAAGTCAGTATGAAAATCATATATTTAAGTATTTCACAATTTCATAGTCAGAAATAACTTTGATTTTATTTTTAAATTTCAGACAATGCTGATGTTGCTTTAGTAAATTTTTATGCTGACTGGTAAGTAATCTTGTTATTTCTTTGTCTTTTAAAAAAATTGTTTGCTGTTTGCTTTTGCTTTGATTGTAGGAAGAGGATAGAATTTGGAGGTCAGAATTTAGGTGTGGCAAGTTTAGAAAGAAAACTAATATTGCTTGTCCACTTATATAATCCAACAATTCTTCCAGGAAGCCTTTACTCCTTCATAGGAATTAGATCCTATCTTCTTCGTTTATATGGTACTCTATAGACTACTTTCTTCTTCCCACTCTAAGTAGAATATCTCTTATCTGAAATACTTAGGACCAGAAGCATTTTAGATTTTGGATTTTTTTGTTTTCATAATTTTGGAATATGTGCAGAGAATTCTGAAGTCTCAAGTGTTCCAGAGTTTGAAACTATTTCAACATTATTTCTGACAGATTTTTGTTTTGTTTTGTTTTGGGTCTGGTCGTGGGGCCTGAACTCTGGGCCTGGGCGCTGTCCCTCAGCTCTTCAGCTCAAGGCTAACGCTCTACCACTTGAGCCACAGCGCCACTTCCGGCTTTTTTCTTTTTGCTTATGTTGTGCTGAGGAATCGAACCCAGGGCCTCAGGCATGCAAGGCAAGCGCTCTACCACTGAGCCATCTTCCCAGCCCCTCTGACTTAGATTTTTAAGTTAGTTTTGCTCAACTTGTACATTGTTTTGACTTTTTTTTCTAATCTGCTTTTGCTCTAGCAAACAGACTTTAAAGCAGATAATGTCCTAGTTCTTACAGATGAGGGAAACCATGCAGCCTTCTTTTCTTTGGGTCTGGCTTACTCCTTACAAATGGGGCATGTCATTCTTTCTGATGGAAGCATAGAACTCTATTGTGTAAATCTACCACAACTTCTTGATGTATTCATCTACTGAGGGGCAACTGGGTCCGTTCCAGATCTTAGCTATGGCAAATAATGCTGTAATGAACATGGTTGTGGTGGTAGCTTTACTATGGCTTTATTTGTGGTCAGGTATCTCAGTAACCCAATTGCTTAGTGCATAGGACAATATATAATGAAGTGTATCAACATGAACTCCAAGATATGGAAACAAGAGGTTCTTATTTTGTCCTGTACATAGTATTTTTTTTCCCTTTGGTTTCTCTCAGTTTTCTGTACCTTGTGTCTTGTATATAAGATTATTCGATCAGGGCTGGGAAGATGGCTCAGTGGTAGAGCTCTTGCCTTGCATGCCTGAGGCCCTGGGTTCTATTCCTCAGCACCACATAAGCAAAAAGAAAAAAGCTGGAAGTGGTGCTGTGGCTCAAGTGGTAGAGCGCTAGCCTTGAGCTGAAGAGCTGAGGGACAGCGCTCAGGCCCCACGACCAGACCCCCCCCCCCCAAAAAAAAAGATTATTCGATCAGAGGAAGGGAAAGAAAATCACAGAAACAGTAGGACAAAGGACGAACATTGACACTCACTTGACATTATGTTGGATATGAAACTTAAAACTTGGTGCGGGGGACTAGAGAGGGGTAAGCAAGAGAAAATGAGGAGTAAGCAGGAGAAAATGAGGGATGGGGTAACAGTGTTTAAAAATAAATGTACTCATTACCTTACTTATGTAACTGTAATCCCCCAGCTCATCACCTTTTCTTTGCCAGTTCTGGGGCTTGAACTCAGGGCTTGGGCACTGTTCCTGAGCTGCTTTTTGTTCAAGGCTAGCACTCTACCACTTAAGCCACAGCGCCCCTTCTGTCTTTTTCTTTTTTTTTTTTTTTTTAAATTTAATTTAATTTTATTTGTGAACATACTGTACAGAGGAGTTACAGTTACATGGGCCTTCTGTCTTTTTCTGTTTATGTGGTACTGAGGAATCGAACCTAGAGTTTCATTCATGCTAGGCAAACACTCTACCACTAAGCCATATTCCCAACTCCTCATGATGTTTTCAATAAATATTTTTTAAAAATTTCCCTAAAAAGGTTACAAAATCTAGAAAAAAAAAGCAAAAAAACCAAGCAGATAATATCTTACTAGTATTCCTAGAATCTAGAACTAAGATAGGATAAGTTGTAGATAAAAACATGTCCTCCACATACAAGAAATAGAAATTTAACTGGAGAAAATTTCAAAATGCTGGCATATTTCTCTGTTGAGACATGCATGTCCTATGTCACTTTTTTTTGTCCTATTTGACTCTTAAAGGTTTACTGGGTGCTATTGCAGTCCCGCAGTTTACTTAAGATTCCTATAACAGTCTTCCAACTTACTTTCTGTGACTCTAGTTGTATATATTTTCATTCTGTTCCCTACAATGTAGCCCAGAGTTCTTTCCTATAATGCAGAATTAGTTTATTCCCCCTCCCCCAATCTTAAACCTCTTAAATGGTTTTATATTGTATTTGGTTGAAAGTGTAAGTTCCTTACTTTGATCTGTGATTTGATTCCTTCCTATCCAGTGATTTGATTCTTTCCCATCTCTTCAGCTGCATTTTTTGTTCTCTCCACTTACATATTTTTCTTGTTATGTAGAATTCTTTTAACTCCTGTGAAATTCTGTGCTCTTTTATCACTGGACTCATGATATTTTCCTGTGCTTAGATGGATCACTTCTTGTTCTTACCCATTTCTTTATTTAGTATAAGTGCTAATTGTCTTTTAAGTCTTGAATTAAATATGATTTGCTTTATGTCATCTTCCTAGATCAATCTACGTTGTTTGCTCTTCCCTCAAGTCAGAATAGAAACCCTTCTTAAACATGTGGCCCACACCTTGGTCATTCAGCATATGACTTTTTTTTTTTTTTGGGGGGGGGGTCCAGTCATGAGGCCTGGACACTGTCCCTCAGCTCTTCAGCTCAAGGCTAGCGCTCTACCACTTGAGGCGCCACTTCCGGGGTTTTTTTTTTTTTCTTTTTGCTTATGTGGTGCTGAGGAATCGAACCCAGGGCCTCATGCATGCAAGGCAAGCGCTTTACCACTGAGCCACCTTCCCAGCCCCATGACTTTTTTTTGTTGGTCGTGAGGCTTGAACTCTAGACCTGGTTGTTGTCCTTTATCTCTTCAGCTCAAGGCTAGCGCCCTACCACTTGAGCCACAGCTCCACTTCTAGTTTTCTGGTGATGAATTGGAAATAAGTGTCTCAAGGCCTTTCCTGCCCAAACTAGTTTTGAACCATGATCCTCAGATCTCAGTCTCTTGAGTAGTTAGGATTACAGGTGTGAGCCACCAGCACCCGGCTTTTATGACTTTTTTGTTTTGTTTATATGGTCTGTTTATATTAAGGTGATACACAGTGAATAGAAATTTAAATTTTGATCTTTAAATTTTGGTATTTTCCTAGACCAGTCATAGGAAGTTTTATGTTATTATTTATTGCAGGCAGTGGTAGAGAACTTCTAGTCAAGCCAGAAACACCAGTATTCTGTTGTGGACTTTGTTTCTGAGTTATGATGCTTGGTAGAGTAGGCATAATAAATGAATTTTTGACTTAGAATATTTTAAATTTATAATAGATTGAGATTTAACCCCACTGAAAATTGAGGAGCATCTGTATTTCCCATAACACTCCAGTCTATCCAATCATAATTGTATGCTATGATCTTAGTGATGATTTCCTAGTCTATCCTTTGTGTTACAAAAATAGTTTCCATAACTATATTTTCAGTATTCCCAAGTATTTCCATAATACATGGATGGTATTATACAATAAATATTAAACAAATGTGATATGATATAGTTACTAATGTGAATGCTATAAGTATTAAAGAACTTCAGTCAAAAGTGGAAGATCTGCAGAGAAAATTCAATTTATAAAATATGCAACAATGGCAGAATTTTCTGTGTTGTTAGGATCAAGATTAGTCTCAGAGTTTAGTAGAAGATTTTACAGTTCAATCCACTTTATAAATAAGTAAATTGAGAGGAGTAAAGTCCTTTGCCAAGGTTGTAACAACAGATTATGGCAGAGGAAATTCTAGAATGCAGTTCTCTAAGGGATTTTTTTTTTTTTTTTTTGTCAGTCCTAGAGCTTGAACTCTGTCCCTCAGCTCTTCAGCTCAAGGCTAGCGCTCTACCACTTGATCCACTGAGCCACTTCTGGTTTGATGAGTGGCTTATTGAGATAAGAGTCTCATGGACTTTCTTGCCCGGGCTGGCTCTGAACCGTGATTCTCAGATCTCAGCCTCCTGAGTAACTAGGATTACAGGCGTTAGCCACCAGTGCCCTGCTCCAAGGGATTTTATTTGTTATGAAAAAAAGAAAAAGAAAACATATTACTGACCTTTGCAAAAAGGTGGACATAGTGCACATTTGGAAAATATACTATCTGAAAATATCTTGAGCTGTTAATGAATTAGTACTTTTTTATTCAACTGAGAAAACTTGGTTTGTAATTGGCTGTAAGAAAAGATATATTCTCTATAGTCTGAAAAACTAGGCTTAGTTCTTTCTGGAAGTTCTCTTATAGAGCTGTCTAAAATATTGCTATGTTTTAGTGAGTACTAACTATATGAGGCCCTTAATGATGCTGTATGTGACAAATTCTACATATGTGTTTTTACTGCTCAGTATTGCCCTGCAGGTAGGTACTATAATTTCCATTTTAGATGGAGGAAATTGAGGCTAGAAAGGTCATACAGCTAATAATGGTGAGCTAGGATTTAAATTCAGGTACATTTCCAAATCCAGAGTTTGTTTTTTTCTCCTACTAGGTTATCTTAGTAAGTGTCCCCCAAAGTTATCTTTGCAAAGGTTTACCTATTTGGTTGATTTGTCAAGGATTGACTTAAATACTGGATTGGAGACTGGGTTCAGCCGACCCTAAGGTTCTTTGAATGGATCTTTGACCTTTTTTTTATTTTTTGTATCATTGTTTGAACTAGCCTGCACTTGCTGGCAAGCATCAGTCACCTGAGTTACAGCTCTTGCCCTTTTGCTTTAGTTTTTCCTTTTGTTTGTTTATTTTTTTCCCTCAGATACTCTTTTGGTTTTGCCTCTTGCCAGCCTCTGATCATGAGCCTCCTACCTCTGCCTCCCAATTAGCTGGGATTACAAATGTGAATCATCATGCCTAGCTTGCTTATTTTCATAGACTCTCAGAACATTTTTGACCAGGCTGACCACCAACCTAGTCCTTCTATCTCTACCTCCCAAATAGCTGGGATATAGACAATGTGCCCAGTGGTATCACTTTTATAATGTATTGCATTTACATGTATGTGGGCACTTGGATAGGAAGACACAAGGTGAACTCTTATTTCATATCCTGAACCTGTGCCTGACATTCTGGGCATCAAACTGTTCAATCCAGAGAGAAGGGGCCCTTGATATGAATATTTACCCTTAAACCAGAAGCCTGGCTAATTTTTCACTAAGCCATAGCCAAAATTTTTAAGAAATTGTAAGTTCCTACTCCATGGCCTTCCCTTCTTCCCCTATCCTGGGTTCAGCAGGTTGTAAGTAGCATAAACCTGGGGTCCTCACCTATTGCTTCTTCTGGTCTATCCACTTTTTCATTTAATAGACATCTATTAAATGCTTCTTAGAATACATAGTCAAATAAGTCATGGTCCATGATGTCCACAGACCCTATCCACCTATCCCAGATGGGAGAGATTTAAGAATGCTAAAAGAGGAAAGAACTATTTGAAAGCAAGAGATAGAAGATACAGATTGTGTCTCCTTGATATATTCTAGGACATCTCCTTAGGAAGTCAGATACGAGTAGGCCAGAAGAGTTATATACAAGAAATAGGAAGGAGGTATAATATTTGTACCCTTTCAGAGGCTTTGCAATATTTTTATTGGATTATAGCTAATATGTATGAACTAATCATATGTGGGTTAAAGCATTCATAGGCTTTCTTCAAGTAAATTTCTTCCTGCACTAGGGATCTGCAAGCAACAATAGCAATCAGAGTTTGTTAACATGCCCGCAATACCACGTGAATGTGCTCATTCTTTTCTCAGGTCCCTTTCAGAACCCATAGCATATTTGTGGAATAGTTTTCCTGATTAAGGGATAGTGAGAATTAAGAGTAACAAGTGCCAGGGTATTCTGTGCTTTAAGTCCCATTTTTAGTGTATGTGCTGCCTGCTGAAGTGAGCATTGTACTCTTTAAAAAAGAGAGAGAAACCTGGAAAGGAAGTCTTATTTAGGAATTTAAATTATTTGCTTCTGAACTTAGTGAAAGCACATTTTAACAAGAACATTTGGGAGGATAACGGATTATATAATAAATATTATTTTGGTATAAGATTTTATAAAAATACTGAATGAGTTGGTCTGATATTTCTGATAAACTTACAAGATTGTATAGTAATCTAAAATTATGTTCATTATCTAGAATAAGTTAACTTGTTTCATAAATGTTCAAACCTCAGTTGTTTTTAGGAAGGTATGTTTCATAGCCTCTGCAAGAGAGCCCTTGCTGTGTGCTTCCTAACACTGACAGATGTCCTAAGTAAAAGAAACAAAATTCCTTCAATTATGCAAGTATTTGAATCAGGTTATGGTCTTTTAATTCAAAATTGTCTTCTTTTCCACTAAATGATATGATGAAATGTATGGTTTCTTCACAAAATTGCTTGTTGTTTATATATTAAATATTAAGAGGTGAAAACTGTTCACTTCTAATTGGTGTGCTTGTTTGGATAGGTGTCGTTTCAGCCAGATGTTGCACCCAATATTTGAGGAAGCTTCTGATGTCATTAAAGAAGAATATCCAGATAAAAATCAAGTAGTGTTTGCTCGAGTTGATTGTGATCAGCACTGTAAGTAACTCCCTAAAAAGTCTGAAAAAAATTGTCTCATGCTGTTTTGCCTTTTTTTTTTTTTCTCAATGCCCTGTTTTAAGTCGAGTATAAACCCCACAAGTCTAGAATGTAGATCAAATTGTTAATATTTAACATGAATATATAGTGCAAATTCCCAGTTTGCCTTTGGGAAAGGTTTATTTTTTGTTACAGTTTTCATTAAAACAGTAGGTCTTGCATACAGATAGTAAGTTTTACTAGCAGTATTTCCTACCAATGCAGATGCCAAAATCAGCAAATAAAAATGAAACAGTTTTAGAAGGAAATATGAATTTTTGTAACTGGTAGAAGCATGTAAAATCTAACTTCAAGTAAGATCGCTAGACTTTCCTGTTTCTGTTTTTTTATGGAGTCTACTAAGATTGGCTTAGACTATCAATGAGATGTAATTTTGTTATAATCATTGAGTGTAATTATTGAGAGTAGTTAAAATGTCATTTGTTGGATTTTGCTTTTCTCAGTGGAGTATTCTTTGTCAAATACTCATAGTTTTCTGTATAACCGATATATTTCTCTACCTTGAGCCAATGATCTAGCAATGGTGTTTCTTTCTGAGTAACCCACTTACACTTGTACTTTATTCATAATTTAGTGTATTTGGTAGTTCTGGTTTGGGGGGTGTCTCAGTTATTTAGGTTAAGAACCCCTTTTTCTTTTACTTTTAAATAGCGACTACATAATTGACTTATCTCTGTATCTCAAGCTTATCAGGTTTTAGAATATAGAGATTGCTTGTTAAAAGCTATTGCATTGAGGTTTTGGTAAGTTGGCTTGAATAAAGAGCTCTCTTCCACTCATCCTTTACACTAAAACTACCGATTAGCATTATCACATATGTGCAAGACATTCTAACTTCTTTGACTGATGAGGAAATGGAAATAAAGTGGCTTAACCAGCCTTACTGAGCTTAGTGTTTTAGTCAGTGTTAAGCAGCTCAGTATTAGTCATACTAGAATTAGAATCCTGATCTCCTGACCAGATGTGTTCACAGAGCAATTTGTGTTTTTTTCTCTTCAGTTCAACAGACATTTTGAGGATTTATTGGTATAGCCTATGCCAGGCAGAAAAGAATTTTCTAACAGCAAATCATTTCAAAGTCTTATAAGCTATATGCCATATTTCTGTCTGCTAAGATTCATAACTAGATATGAGGAAGGGAGCAATAAAAAATTGTTAGCACAAGCAAAGACTATATTATGACACTACTTTTTGGATCTTTCCTCCTCCAGTGACAAGAGAACATGATGTGTTTGATGTGGACACTCTTTTCAAATTGTTCTATTATTTATTAGATATCATAGTACAAACTAGAAGATGTACTTGTACTATACTTACACATACCCAAAATTAGGCTCTCAAGTTTGTAGTTATTTGGGGAAAAATGGTCATCATATTATTTTCTTTCTATGACAGAATAGTTATGAGTTCAGGTAAGCCTTTCAATCTGTGAAATGTTACTAATGAAAGCAACTTCTCATTTCTCTTTCCCACAACCTCTAGAAACCATTCTACTTTCTGTTTTCATTAATTTGAATATTCTAGATACCCTACATAAGTAGAATCATCCAGTTTTGGTTTATGTGACTGGCTTATTCATTTAGTAGAATGTTTCAAGGTTAGTTCTTTGTTGTACATTTGCTAGAATTTCCTTAATTTTTAAATCTGAGTAGTATTCCATTGGGTGCATGTCATAGTTCTCCATATAATTTTGTTTAGCTTATCCAGATTGCCAGAATTAGTACTTAGAACAAAGCCATTATTGAGTTAAATAAAGGTTACTTGAACACAAACACTTGGAGTACTACTGCAGTTGATCTGATAACCGGAGAGCACATAAGTGACTAATGAGCAGATAGCATATACATTTGTTGTGGAAACAAAAGGATGAAGTAACTCCTGGTCAGGATAAAGCTAAGACGTAGTAAAATTTCATCATAATACTCAAAATAGTACTCAATTTAAAACTTACAAACTTTATTTCTGGAATTTTTAAATTTTCAGGCTGCAGTTGTTGAAACTTGAATACAAAAGTGCAGCTAACATAAGGACTAGTGGGTATAATTTATCTATCATCTATTTATGGACAGTTGGGTAACTTCTACCTTTTGTCTATGATTCTGGATGTATAAGTATTTCCTTGAAACCTTGTTTTCAGTTCTTTTATATATAACCAAGTAGTGAAATTGCTAAATGATGGTAATTTTATTTCTGACATTTTGAAGAACTGATATAAACTATGTTTATGCCATTTTACATTTCTGTTACCATGCATAAGGATTCCATTTTATCCACATACTTTCTAGTTTGTTTTTCTTTAGTAGCCATCTTAATAAGTATAAGGTGATTTTGGTTGTTTTTGTGTTTTCCTAGTAATTAATGATGATGCTTATGCAAATTCTTCCCCTTACCAGTTTTTTTTATTGTTGAGTGGTAGGAATGCTTTATATATTCTACATATTAATCCTTTTATCATGATTTAAATATTTTTGGTCCATTTTGAGTTATTTTTGGATATGGAATAAAGTAAGGGTTAAACTACATTGTTTTGTCTATAGTTCTCCAGGTATTCCAAAATCATTTGTTGACGAGACTGTTCTTTCTCCATTGAATCATCTTGGCATCCTTGTTGAAAATCATTTGAATATATGATAGTTAATTCCTGGGCTTTTCTGTTCTTGTGTTTTATGCTAATACCACATCATTTTGAAACAGTCTTGAGGTATTTTTGAAAACTTTGTTCTAAATTTTGAAATCTGGAAGCATTTGATTCCAACTTCTTTGGGGTGTCTCTGTAAGAGTATATCTTATTACTTGTGAAGAAGTGTCGTACAAAACCTGAAAGTACTAAGAATTTTCAAGAGATGCTGGGGAGTAATGTTTTACCATAAACGCTGCATATTTAGATCAGATTTGTCTTTTAAGTATTTCTTATTGCTTATACTATTGTAAATTATATATTTAAATTTGAGTTTTCTCATATACCTTGTATTACTTTTATATACTTGTATTACTATACTACATTGTCAAAACTAAGATGCTATTAAAATCTACATGCTCTCCAAATTTTATTAGCTGATTCCTGTAAGGTATATTAAATAGGTAGGTTTCATTAGGTAGCCGATGAAGAGAATACTATGTGGTATTCAGGTAGGAAAAGAAGTTTATTTACCTTACTGTGGCCCCCACCTTGCATAGTGAAGAAGCAGGGCCTGAGAACAGGCGGCCCAGGATGTGACAGAGCTGGAGTGGGAGGTGACTGCTTCCAGGGTTACCAGTTACCTACGTAATACAGATACTGGGGGGAAACTGAGCCACGTGGTAGGGAGATGTCTGCACAGAGCCTGCATGACCCCGGGGAAGACCTTACAATCCTCTAGTACCTTTTTTCTGTTCTGGACATTTAGTTTTTTTATCCTTTTTAGTTTCTCTGACCATTTCTTGATCTTTTATTATTTTTCTACAGTCTTGTCAGTTTTGAAGACTATTAATCAAATAATTTAGAGTGTTCCTGATTTGGGGCTTATCTGGTGGTAGTTTTGCTTTGTTTTGTTTTTTCCGTGTTGGTCTTGGGGCTTGAGCTCAGTGCCTGGGCACTGTCCCTGACCTTTTTGCTCAAGGCTAAGGCTACACCACTTGAGCCACACCTTAACTTCCTGCTTTTTAGTTGTTAATTGGAGATAAGAGTCTCACAGACTTTATTACCCGGGCTGGCTTTGAACTATGATTCTCACATCTCAGTCTAGTGAGTAGCTAGGATTACAGGTTTAAGCTACCAGAGCCCTATCATCTGGTGTTTTTGTTAGGCTTTGCATATCTTTTATCTATTTTGAAATATATTTACTTTTGATGCTATTATAAATGGCATTTTTTTACATTTAATTTGTAGTTTTTGTTGTTAGTATATAGAAATAAATTTTTGTATTTTGCTCTTATATACTAGTTTATTAGTTCTAACAAGTTTTAATTACTATTGTTAAGTATTTGTACAAAAGAGTTTCAGTTCAACATGTCTGTTTTTAATCAGAGTCACCCCTTTCATCATTTCCTTCAAGTTCGAACAAGTTTTGTTTTTGTTTTTGTTGGTCATGGGGCTGAAGTCTGGGCCTGGGCACTGTCCCTCAGCTCTTAGCTCAAGGCTAGCACTCTACCACTTGAGCCACAGCGCCACTTCTGGCTTTTTCTGCTTATGTGGTTTCATGCATGCAATGAATCATGCATGCAAGGCAAGCACTCTACCACTGAGCCACCTTCCCAACCCCAAGTTTGAACAAGCTTTATGAAGACTGTATAGACATTGCTTTTTTTTTTTTGGTTGGCCGTGGGGCTTGAACTCAAGCTGGATGCTGTCCCTGCGCTCTTCAGCTCAAGGCCAGCGCTCTACTGCTTGAGCCACAACAGCACCACTTCCTGTTTTCTGGAGATAAGAGTCTTACAGAGTTTCCTGCCTGGGCTGGCTCTGAATTGCGATCCTCAGATCTCAGCCTCCTGAGCAGCTAAGATTACAGGCGTGAGCCACTGGCACCCGGCTTGTATAGACATTTCTATTTAGACAATTTTAATTTATGCAAATTTAATTTTGTACTTTTTATGGTCTGTATTTTCTTACACTTGTTGCTTTAGTTTTTTTTTTTTTTTTTGGTCAGTTGTGGGGCTTGAACTCTGGGCCTGGGTGCTATCTCTGAGCTCTTCAGTTCAAAGTGAACAGGCTACCACTTGAGCCACAGCACCACTTCCGGTTTTCTGGTGGCTAATTGGAGATAAGATAATGGACTTCCCTACCTGCACTGGCTTTGAACTGCAATCCTCAGAGCTCAGCCTCCTGAGTAGCTAGGGTTGTAGGTGTGAGCCACCAGTGACCGGTTAGAATTAGTTTTTATTGGGCAAAAGATTTATAGAAAGGTTGCTAAGCAAAGGTAGAAGGTGACCTTAGAATCAAGATAACATCCTATCCTTGTAAG